GCGTGAGAGAGCCAGGCAGGGGGGGGCAAGGCGAAGCTCTGCCGATAAGCTGCGGCTGGTTAGATTTTTTGGAGCGCGCCATACGACTCCAATCAGTCCTGCAGAACGCTGCACGATTGCTGCTGCCAGCCTGTTGTCGTCAGGTCTCCTTGCCCAAGCTGCACAGTTGCCTCAAGTCCTGGATCGCACTGCTGCCCCAAAAGCCCTGCCGCTGCAAATCTCCGCCGGCCGAGCGCAACTGCCCGCACCAAGCTGGCTGCTGCCTGGTGACAATACATCCACTGACTGGTGTCACTGCAGGCTGCCTCCGCCTGCCCGTGTCAACCTCAACCCAACCACCGCGGCTCCATCCATCCACTAGTTAAGCGCTGCCACCCGCCATCGCCGATGCTGCTGCCACCGCTCCCGCAAACCACCGCTTGCACCGGCCCCCGAACCGTGCGCCTCCTCTACCACTGCCCCACTCCAGGATTTACCCGCGCTGCCCTGAATACGCCCCCAATCTCCTAAACCGCACCTGCCCGGTCTCCGAGGCGTTGATGCGGAAGTAGGTCGACAGCTCCATGGGGCTGTGGACGCCCTTGGGCACAAACACAAACGACCCGTCGCTGAACACGGCGCTGTTGAGGGCTGCGTAGTAGTTGTCTGCCACCGGAACCTTTGAGTCAGCGGATCAATGCAAGAGGGCAGTGGTTTCAGCGCGGCGTGCATGAGCCCAGGTTGAGAAGGGTGGCGAGTTGTTGTCAGGCCGCGTGCTGCCGTTTGTGTGGCGGCCGCTCGGAGCGCAGGCTGCGCCGCCTGCTGTACATGTGCGGCGGCAGCATGCGGCTGCTGCACACCACCCAGCGCGCGGTCACTGCCGCCAGCCGGCCCAGTCTGTGCAGACTGCCAACCGCCCGCAACCGACGTCCAAAGGCCCCCTGCCGGCTCCTGTACGCCCGCTCAACCCTCGGCACTGGAGATGCGCGGCACCCACCACGCTGCCGAGATACTTCTTCACCAGCTCGGGGTACTCCTTCACAGCCTCGCTCATGGAGCAGAAAATGACGCCCGCCTTGGACAGCTCCTCCCTAAACGTGGTCGCGATCGACACGCTGTCAAACACGGCGTCGACGGCGACGTTGGCGAGGCGCTTCTGCTCGTTGAGGGGGATGCCCAGCTTGTCGAAAGTCTTGAGGAGCTCGGGGTCGACCTCGTCGAGGGAGGCCTTCTTCTCCTTCATCTTTGGCTGGGAGTAATAGCTGAGGTCCTGAAAGTCGATGACCGGGTGCTGGTTGTCGGACCAGCGCGGCTCCTCCAGCGTCAGCCATTTGCGGAACGCCCTTAGGCGGAACTCCAGCATCCAGTCTGGCTCCCCTTTCTTGGCCGAGATCGCCCGCACCACGTCCTCGTCGAGGCCCTTGGGAAAGGTGTCGCTCTCAATGAACGTCTGGAATCCATACTTATAGGGACGGTTGAGCATCTGCTGGATGTCGCGCTTCTCGTCTGCAACGGGGTCGGAGACCACTCCCTCCTCCGTAGCGGCACTCATCGCACGCACTGCCAGCCGTGCCTGGCGGCTCGCACGCGTCCTGGTAGCTGCCTTAGGAGCCTGGCGCCTCTGGAATCCGGCATGCGGGCCCGCGGTGGGCCCACGGAGTGTCTGCATATTTTGCTGCTGTTGCTGCACTGCTGCTCGTGTATACGTCTGCGAGAAGGTGCTTGTGGTCGCATCCAGGTCTATACTGAACGCAGTGTCGATGCAATTGTTTGCCGCATGCGCCAGATGTATGTGTCGCTGTCGGGGCGGCGTCCGGTGCCACGAGTGTCTCTGCCTTCCGCTGGCATTTCTTGTGACGTGCGCTTATCGCGGCGCAAGTAGCACCGATGCGCCACAAAAACTGCAACATGAAGTCTTGAGAGCCTGCGGGATGCCAGTCCTCAGCGCTTTGCATAGCGTTTTGAATTGCAATTGCGACGTCATCGGAAAGAAAGTGCAGCACTGTTGCTGGGTGCAGACCAATGACCCATGCCTTCTGGTATGCAATGATACAGGACGATGCGCATGGCGGTGCTTGAAGGGGTATGTGGGTACCCCAGAATCTTTGCATGCGACAGCAACGGCTACATATCAACGGCCAGCTTTTCCCAAGCAGCCCAGCCGCGGTCGGGGCGGCCGGGCCTGGACTGAAACGCTTATGACAGCATTCCCGCACCCGCTGCTCTCGAGCGTGGACGCGGCTGCTGCCAGCCTGTAGGAGGACATGGCCTCCTGCTGTTGTGGCCCAACCAGCGTCCTCCCTGTTTACATGCACAATGAAACGTGTCTGTACACGAGGCAACACGCACGAATTTCAACCACCATGTCAGATGTCAAATGCACGTGCCAACAGGCGGCGCTGAGACAGCGCTATGGGTCGGGTCCGATCCCTGTTGCAGCCTGCCAGACGGAACGGCCGTTGCCCAGACCTGCCTTTCTCCTGGCAACACTCGCGTCAGCTTCCCCTCTTGGGCTTGCAGACCTCTGTGGCCACCACTGGGGCGGGTGTCAGCACGGGGTTGCCCTCATAACAGAAAGCTGTCGCCTCGAGCAACGCGGCGTCCCCGCCGTGGCCGCGCTGCGCCGCCGCGGGGGCCGCCTTGCGCGCTGAGCGGCGCACAGGCGTCAGCACCTGTGAGGGGACATGCGAGGTTGTGCTGCGGGCTCTTCACTCCATAAGCAACCGGGTTGAGCTGTTTTTCACCCCTCAGCAGCTGGTCCAGTGGATGCAACCGACGCACCACGACACGACGCGCTGATTGTGAGGCTACCTAAATTCATCAGGGCTCGTCCCGCAACCATCAGCCCTGTCCCCTTTTCACCCAAACCCGGGTGCGTGCCGACCGCCCCCACCTGTCCCATGTTGGCGCCGAGGCTACCCTGGACCTTCCTGCTCGCGCGCACCGGGGTGAGGCACGAGATGCTGCCGAGCGCGGGCTGCTGCTGCTGACCCATGGCGTCGTCTGCTGCGGATGGCTGCCCCTCCAAAGGCGGGTCCCGCAGGGGCTGCTGCTCCTGCAGCAGCTGGCGCAGCTCGGCCGCACCGTGGGGCCTTGGGGGTGGGGTGTGGTGACGGCAAGCAAGACAAGACGTGACAGCAGTTTCGGGGCGCTGCGCTGCTGATCCTGGGTGGTTGCTCCAAATGCAAGGGTCCTCCGCCGCCACCCTTGCAGATTGGCAGTTGGGCACCGAGCGCATCGGACTGTGGCCTGAGAGGGCACCCCGCGTTCCCGCCAGGGCGGGCTTCGCCGACGTCCGAGCAAGCGCAAGGGCAACGGAGTGTTGGCGCACCTGGGCAGGTCGCACGGCACGCGCTCTGGCTTCCGCAGGGAAGCCTTGGGCGTGGGCGTCGGCACTGTGGCCGGTTGGTGGGGGGCAGCAGTTGTTAGGCGGTGGCTGGCAAGGGGAAACAACGTGCGATTGCGGTCCCAAGAACGGCTGCGGCCTTCTATTGTCCTTGCCGCAACAGATTCAGGCCTGCAGCCCATCCAGGCTTCTCGCTCTAGTCCTGAAGAGCAGGCCGCCGTGAAGTATACAAACGCTGCCCCCAGCAACCCACGTGCAAAGGGCACCGACTCCGCAGGAGCCCTGACAGCGCCGCCAAGCGCGACCGCTGGAGTCGTAGTGCCGAAACAGCCGCCAAACATTGTCGGCGTCTCCTCGCCACTGCCGCCGCACGCAGACGCGGCGAGCACCGGCGTGCCGCAGCCGCCTGCAGCGCCGCCGGCAGCTGCAGCTGCGTTGGCCCTTCCCCCAAAGAACTCGAAGCTGTCTGTGTCTTGCCGCGGGCCCTCGTCCTCCTCACCACCGCTGCTCTCAGATTCGCCCAGCTCCCCCGACACCCGGCCGAGCCCGCGCAGAGCACACCCGTCACGCTCGCTCCCTGGCTCCTCCCCAAAGTCCAGGCCTCCCAGCGGGCTGACCCCCGCCGCGACCCGCACGCGGCCGCCGCCACTGCCGCCACGGCTGCCGGACAGGCTGTACGGCGTGTGGCCCGCATTTGACCACAGGGGGGTCGCATCAGATGGGGCGGGGCCGCCGCCGCTGGCCGCGTCGGCGCCGACGCTGCGGTACTGGTGCACAACAGGCGTCCCAAACGACACCCGCGTGCGCGCGGCCAGCGAGTGGTCGCTGGCCGACGCGCCGGGCACGTCCTTCCCACGCACGCGCCGCGCCGGCCCCAGCGGACTCTTTGGCGGCGCGCGCGGCGCGGCCCCAGCGGCCTGGGTGCCTCCACTTGCTGCGGCGCGCGGGCCGCCGGTGCCGGCCTGGGCGGCGCTGCCGACCGCGCCGTCCAGGGCCAGCGCGTCAAACCGCTCAAAAAGGCACGCCAGCGGCGTCACGGTGCCCGGCTCCTCCCCTCCAGCAGCAGCGCCGGGCGCCGGCGTTGCGGTGGCAGGCTGCCCTGGCTGCTGTCGCAATCGAGGTGGTGGAGGAGCGGCGCGGCAACGGTAAGTGAATGATTGCCACCTTCAAGTGCTCCGCGGATGCGCGAAGCAAATCAATTACATGTGGTTGAACGCAATTGCGGTATGCGTACCTTGCCAGAAACGCCGCCAGCCACGTGCTGAACATTGTGGTTGGCTGTGAGGGGTGGGCGGCCGTGATTGAGGGGTCATTGCTTTTACCAGCTCAAGCATGGATCCAACACTGCGAGGCCAATGCAGATGCTGAAGCTGCGCAACTGAAAGGAGCAGATGATCAGACTTTTTGTCAAGAAGGGCTTGGAAATGGTGTCGCAGGCAGAATGCAGCAGCAGTGAGGGCCGGACATATCTGCATTCCAGAAAGCCGCGCACCTGAGTCGCCTAGCGGCACGCGCCTGGCCAGGCCCAGGCCTGGGGTGCCGCGCAGGCGGCTCTTGGGCGACAGCTGCGCAGAGTATGGGTGTTGACAAGGATATCAGACGTGCAAATGTGTTGGGTTTATATTCGACATAGCAAACGGACGTTGCGCTGCAGCTCATCCATCCGCAGTGCCGCTTGCGCACCAGCAGGCCAGCGTCGCCACCGCCGTTGTGCTCCTCCTGCTCTGCATGTGGCTTTTGCGCCGATAGTGTGAATTTGCTCGTCCAGCGCGGCAGGCTCAGGCCGTCGCCGCCATCCATTGTGCTGCTTGTGCTGTCAGTGCACCAACAACGGCCCGTCAGCCCCGTGCGTCGGCGGCCAAGAGCACCGCTACTCTACTGCATATGCTGCGCAACACCTCCCTCCTCCTATGTCTTCGTCGAGCGTGGCTGAGGCGGTGGTCCCCACCGTGAGCAGCAGCTGGTTTGAAAGCGTCACGTCAAGATCGTTGCTGGTTGGTTGTCGGTGCTGCGGCGATCATCGCGTGCCTACAACGATTATACAGCGCATGCCTCCACCTGGCCCGAGCTTCTCACCTGGTGTGCCGGTGCTTCTCCCGGTGATGATTTGCTGCCTCGCGCGCCATGGGCGGCTGCGCTCCACATTTACGGAAGAGTTGTGTCGAAAATTCGTGTCGAAACGCTTCGCCGCACGAACGCGTCTCCTGAATCGCAGATATTTGGAGACTAGCCGATTCCTCCACGCAGCACTAGGCCCGAAGTGAACGCCCGCAGGTCGCGTTCAAGCTCTCGCCGAGCTGAGAGGCCGTACGAAACCAGTGCACTGCGAACGGCCTCGGGGCAGGGCCTTGCAATGGCTCTTGCGAAGCACAGCAGGAGGGCAGCGCCAAGGAGTGCGGGGTCACAGGCCCCTCGATCGATCGTCTTCGCGGCCAGGAACGTGGCTTTCACTCGTCGTCATGCGCAGCAGCAGGCAGTGGTGGCGCTGACGCGCAGCGTGGACGAGGAGGTCAGCGCGCCGCGCCAGGAGCGCCCTGTGGCGAGCGAGCCGGCGCGCGTGGTTGCCACGCCGCCCCCATCGGCTAACGGGGCGCTGCAGATCCCTGTTGAGGACCGCCCTAAGACGTTGCGCAACATCGTCTTCGTGTCCTCCGAGGTAGGCGGCTCCCCTGCACGCCGCCAACCATTTGCTAGCCGCGCCCCTGTGCCGCCACCGCCGCCGCTGCCGCCGCCGCCGCCGCCGCCGGGATGCATGCACAGCTGAGAAGCGTGCACAACCTCGCACGCCGCTTTCCCCACGCCCCAATGCCGGCGCTCCCCCCTGCTTCCGTGCCCCTGCCTTCACACGCCACTGCCGCCCTGCCCCTGCTGACCCTGCGTTTTGCCGCTCAGGCGGCCCCCTGGTCAAAGACTGGCGGCCTGGGCGATGTGGTGGGCTCTCTGCCCATCGCGCTGGCGGCACGTGGCCACCGCGTCATGGTGGTGGTGCCGCGCTACGCCGATTACGAGGACACCCACGACACAGGGGTGAGGGCGGTGACGGGGTGATGCACCGGTGAAGCAGCGCCGCGCGCGGTGCTCCTGGCTGCTGGTTGCACGCGGGGCGCAGGGCCCAACCAGGGGGTACGGTGTACGTCCAGGGATGGCTCTGGCGCTCTTGATGACTTGGGAATTTCGAGGATGTGCGGAGGCTGGTGGGTTGCATATGGCTGGTGCAGCGCAGCGGGCTCGATGCTTGTCGGCTGGGTGCATCTGCTGCATGGAAGCATGGCTATTGCCGCTGAAATAAATCCCCCTTTGCACATACGTGTCGCAATGCAGGTGCGGGTGACCCTCCTGGGCCACACCCAAGTCTCATACTTCCACAAACGCGCAAAGGTGGGTGGCCACTGGTCAACGTGTCCACGACGATGGTGACTAGGTCAGCGACGCTCACGATGTGGGCCGAAGGGCCCAGGCGCGGGGTCTTTATGGAATCAATGGGTGCAGCACGGCTGCAGCATAGTGCACTTGGGTCGGAGCCGCGGGCTGTGCCGCAGCACCTGTGGGTGTTGGTCGTGCTCCATTTTTGCAGGCGCCCGTCCACGCAGCGAGCTGTGCTGCACCCACCGCGGGCCTGTGCGCGCAGGGCGTGGACTGGGTGTTTGTCGACCACCCCAGCTACAAGCGGCCCGCGGGGCTGTACGCAGACGAGCACGGGCCCTACCCTGACAACCAGGTGAGCCTGGGTCGACAGCTTGCTGCCAACTGCAGGCATGCTGCAGCCACGGGAGGGAGGGATAGACCCGCTGCCGGTCAGCGGCCGGTGGAATAACGCGTTCTGTCATGGACGAGTGCAGTCGGGACAGCAGGCGTGCTGCGGCATGCGCGCGAGGCGCGTGCGTGGATCACTCGTGCTGTTGGGCGTCAGCAGTCGCTCCTGCTTGCTGCAGCCTGTGCGTAGGACTGGAAAATTTATGTTTGCCAAACGCCCCGAACTCTGACACCCCGGCCCCTGGACCTGCCCCCTGCCCACGCACCCTTTTTTTCTTAGTTCCGCTTCACGGCGCTGTGCCTGGCTGCGTGCGAGGCTCCGCTGAACTTGCCGCTCCCCAGGGGGGACAACGCGGAGGGCCAGAAGGAGCTGTACGGTCAGGTGCGGCCGCGGAGCATGGGTTTGGGGGATGGGTGTTTCGCAGGACAATCGGCAGCCGCGAGAAGGAGGAGGAGAGGCCGGCGGGCTTGGGTGCTGGGGGGCGTGGAGAGGCGCGGAGAGGGAGTGCCTGGGGCGGGGGCGCCAGGCGTTGTGCTGGCGGGCGGGGCATTCGAGGGCAAAAGCAGCGGCTGTAGTGCTTGGCTGCAAGGAGTTCATCTGGCGGCAGTGGGTGTGGCCTCGTCACGGGCGGCGCGCGAGGCGGAGGCTGGCAGGGATGGTGGCCGCTGGCGGCGCAACCGCGGCCCGTGCTTTGGGTGTTCGATCCACGCCTTTCCACCTGCAGCCGTCTTGCCCTGGGCGCGGCCGAGCCCCGCGCAGCACCGACGCCCCTCATTCGGGACCCCGGCCACCGCCCTCTGCATCACGCTCACCCCCGCCCTTGGACCGCGCCCCCTCCCTGTCCACCCCATCACGCCGCGCTGCACACCAGGACATCACATTCGTGGCCAACGACTGGCACGGCTCCCTGGTTCCCGTGTACCTCGCGGGCAAGTACCGCCCTCACGGTGTGTACACCAACTCGCGCAGCATCCTGGCCATCCATAACCTGCGCCACCAGGTGCGGCGGCACGGCGGGGCGCGTGCTTCAACGCGCGCAGGGTTGCGCAGCGGCGCCCGCGGGGTGTGCGGGCGCGCGGCTAGCAACGGGGCATGGGCTCAGAGGCGCGGAGGCCGGCGGGCAGGCGGTGTCGACAGGGCCGCGCGCGGGTGTGCGCTGCGGTTGCGAGAGGGCGATGTGGCTGCCAGCTGTGCCGATTCCGGCCAGTCGGCGGTGGAAGAACCCTGACGAAATCCTTGCGCGTGCCTCCTCGCCACAGGGCGTGTACCCGCCGCACTCCTTCAAGGAGCTCGGCCTGCCTGACAATTGGTACGGCGCGGTCGAGTTCCAGTACCCCCCACACCAGGTCGGTTACGGCGGTTGCGGCGGTTGAGGGGCCGGTCAGCCGATGAGTCTTGCCCGGGGCTGGCTGGCTGGCCCGGCAGCTGCAGCCAGGGCGTTCTTGGATGGCGGGCTGCATCCACTGTCATGTTGGCGGGCAGCGGCTTGTGCAGGGAGGCTGCCGACAGGGGGCGCTTAAAGCGCGACAAAAGGCGCTGTTGAGTAGGAGGTGCGGGGCGAACCGCTCAGGAGCAGGAGCACACGGGCTGACCCGCCGCGCCCCGCCCGCGACCGCACCGGGCCCCTCCCCCCCCTCTCCGCGACGCGCGCAGCGGCAGGGCAGCTACGCGGAGGAGGGGCGCAGCGTCAACCACTTGAAGGCCGGCATCACCACAGCTGACCGCCTGCTGACTGTGTCGCCGGGTGCGTTGCGGCGCCTGCCAGGGGCCCCTGCCAGGCGCGAGCCCCAGCCCCAGTTCGAGGGGCGCTGTCCCGGGAGTGAAAGCGGCAGCTGACTCGAAACAGGGGGGAAAGTGGCTGCGCCTGCGCGGCCGCCCTGTGTCACCTCCGTAATTCAATACACTGATAGCAGCGGCTGCATGCCTGGCTGCTTGCATTCGCCACCGCCAGAGCTGCCGCACTCCCCTTGACCGTCCAAGTGTGGGAAATGCATCGTTGTTTTCGCATCTTTGGCCCTGCTCGCCACAACGGGACACCCCCTTCCCGGGCCACCCCTCAGGGTACAGCGGCGAGATCAAGACCTACCTCGGCGGCTGGGGCATGGAGGGCCTGCTGGCCAGCCGCGCTCCCGTGCTCAGCGGCATCGTCAACGGCATCGACATGGAGGAGTGAGCGCCCTGGCTGCACCGTGGCAGCATTTACGCTTTTGCTCCTTCAGGGTTGTCACGGCACCTGCGGGGGACCACGCAGCCCAAAACAACTTCACAAGGGCCAGGGACGCTCATTCCAGGGCAGCCGCCGTGATATGGCAGCCCCAGGTGCCCCTAGCCGCGCAGTTGCGTGACGCCGGCACATGCTAACCCGCCGACCCGCCACGTGCCCCAGGTGGAACCCGGCCTCTGACAAGTTCCTGGCGGCCAACTATTCCATAGCGGACTTCAAGGCCGGCAAGGCGGCCAACAAGGCGGCGCTGCAGAAGGAGCTCGGGCTGCCGGTCAACCCGGACGTGCCGCTGCTGGTGGGCGGATGGGTGATGCGTGGGGGGTTGGGTGTAGTGTGAGCGCATCCAGCATCCCGAATTGGCAGGGTGGCGTTGCAGGGTGTGGGACGCCTCTCCATGTGTTCGCCAAAGGATTCGACGTCTTACGGGCGGCCGAAGAGGGGCGGAACTGATGTGCACCTGTTCAGTACATCTGGCCATGGCCTTGCAGTATCTTGAAGCGCGTTGACGTTGGACCCTCATCCCTTTCTTGATCCTGCCACCACCATGAGCAGGCCTTTATCGGGCGGTTGGACTTCCAGAAGGGCGCAGACCTGCTGCTGCAGGTGCGGGGCGGGCCTGTCGGGCAAAATCAACGGGTGGCGCTTGCCATCGCGGGCCGTGTGTTTCATTCCATTTTTTTTACGGGGGCAGCCCTTGCTATTGCATGACGCCCGCAGTTGGCACCCGTGCCTACCTGTGAAGTGGAAGCGTTTGCTTGGGAAAGTACTGCAATGCGCGAGCTGGCTCCGGCTAGTTTGTGGTGTAGCCAGCGTGGGGAGCCAGCGACATGTGCACCCACATGACATGCTGCTGCACGGGTTCTGTGAACATCCCCCTTGCCGCCCTGACGCCCTTGCTGTCCCGCCCAGGTGGCGCCCTGGATGATGAGCCAGGGGGTGCAGCTGGTGTGCCTGGGTACGGGCACCCCTGACCTGGAGGTGCGCGGACCAACCGCAGCCGGGGGCCCACTGCGCGGCCGCCTGTTTTTGCGGTTGCTGCTAGGGGCGCCGCAGGCACTCACTCACTCACCCTGCGGCCCCCGGCAAGCTGAGGGGCGTTTGAAGTCACTAGGATGTGCATTACACGGCGTCGTGTCGACGTGTCCAACACCACCAAATGGGTGCACCCTTGCGACGGCGGCGTTGCATCCACCCCTCGTCGCACCCTGCTTGACAACATGACATCACCTGCCGTCACCCCCTGTCACCCGCCCAGGCCGGCCTGCGGTGGCTGGAGGCGACCTACCCCCAGCAGGCGCGCGGCTGGGTGGGGTTCAACGTGGCGATGAGTCACAAGATGACGGCAGCTGCCGACATCCTGCTGATGCCCAGCCGCTTTGAGCCCTGCGGCCTCAACCAGCTCTACGCCATGCGCTACGGCACAGGTGTGTACGCGCAGTGACAGTGCGCCAGCAGGGCGCGCTGGGGTTGCGGCGGTTCATTGCACATGAGCGGCGCGCCGGCAGCCTGCGTGCACGTGGACGGCGTGCGTGCGACTATAGCTGCGCTCTTGAGGTGCTGATTGATAGGGGGTTTCTTGATTGCAGGCGCTGTTGTGCAGCTCTGAAAGCGGACACGCATCGGTCGCGCCGCTAAATCATCACCCATGCTAGACTCCGTTGGCCACCCACCCGCCCTTCCCCGCCGCTCCTCGTGCCCTTTTACCCTCACCAGTCCCCGTGGCCCACAAGACTGGGGGCCTGGGGGACACAGTGATCGACTTCAATCCCTTCACACAGGTGCGCCCCTCAGGCCAGACAGCCCTGGCCCCAGCCGAAGAGCTCCGGCCGCCCGCTGCCGTTGAGGCCGCGGAGCTTCCACCCGCGCCACAACAGTGAGAACGCGCGGTCCAACCGGCCGGCCTGCAATGAACCCATGCGCGCGTGCGTATGCCTCTCACATTCCCGCTTGCGCCCTGCGTTCCCGCAGCCCCCTGTGGGGACTGGCTGGACCTTCAGCAACTTTGACGCGGGCGGCCTGATGCACGCTACTGGGCTGGCGCTGTCGACCCTGAGGAAGCACCCGGAGGACTTCCAGGGCATCCAGCGGCGGGGCATGGAGCGGGACAGCAGCTGGAACTGCGCCGCGAAGAAGTACGAGGACATATTTGAGTGGTGAGGCGCCGGCGTTTTCCGACGGATGGTTGTTGCGGGACAGATAGGATGGCAGAGGTAGTGTGGGTGGGGTGGGTGGGGTGTAGGGCCCGGAGCAGGGGAGAGAGTGTGACAAGACGCAGCGTTGGGTGTGGTCGGTGCCACGAAGGCTGTGCCCAGCCTTGAGCAAATGCTTGCACCGCCGCACCAACACGAGGCGCTTGGCAGGCCGTGGGCTGCTGAATGGCCGCCGTCAACATAGAAGTGTGCTCTGACTCTGTGCCCCCTGCCCGCTCAATCACACCGCTGCAGGGCCTCCATCGACCCTCCGTACTGCAAGTGATGAATGTCCCCCACCTTTGTTGTGCGGCAACGGCGGTGGCTCGGTGGGGCGGCGCTCTGAGCCGCCTTTCACTTCCCTGAGGACAGCAGGAGTAGGACAGGCGGGGGCTTTTATGGGGCTGTGTGGGGCCGGGCAGGGTGGAAACGCTGGCGCAGCCGGGCAATGACAGAGGTGCTGCCAGCAAGCTGCCCGCGTGAGCAACCCGCCAACAGCGGGTCGCTCGCCCTGCGCGGCGAGAGGCCTCCGACTCATGTTTTTGGAGAGTAGACTGGCCTCTGTAGAGCGGCGGGGGCGGTGGACCCTCCGCGCCTGGATAGCAAGAGGCACCTTGTGCTTCGTGAGCGCCACGTCAGCACGCCTGATCAGAGGCTCAGGCGCCAAGAAACTGCAGTGCCCGGGACCCTTGGCCGTCTCCTGGCTCGTCCATCAGCTTGACAATCAAGGGCACCGCCACACGGCCTGCTTGCGCAATTCGCATTTGTTTGATAACAAAACGTTTTCTTGTGTTTGGACGGGCCGCCCACCCGCGACGCATGCGCGAGCCCCATCCTCAGCACGCATCCATGCACGCCCGAGCGTCTTGCTCTGAGGGCTGTTTGCGCGCGCTTTTGGGACGCACGGCGCTTGCATGCGCGGCTGCCGCTCAACCGTTTGGAGTGGCAGATTGCAGGGTATGAGCATTACTGAGTGGCAGCAAGCGTGAGCTTCATCGGCGGAGAACGGGATGCGGTCATGCTCCTGATTTGCATCCAAGAGTGAACAAGAGAACACGAGGCGTGACAGAGGTACAACAATACAAACGTCCCGCATGGGCAGCGGCATGTTGTGCCGCGGCCTGCGGCGGCAGGCGGACGAGTGTGCAGTGTTCCATGTGCGGCGCCTTGTGGCTGCCCCTGGGCCGGACCATTCTCTTCCACAGAGGCCGCGTCGCTGCGCCTTGGCGTCCTCTGTTGCATCCGCAATGGTGTGCTTTGTCGCGGGAAAGGTGTGTATGTTCTTGGCGGTCTCCAGTGGTTGGGGGAGGGGCCAGGCGGTGCCGTGTCTACGCGCGGCGCCCTTCCCCAGAGCGTAGGACGCGGCGGCCCCTAGCCGTAGCCCGGGCTGGCTCGGAGTGGCGTTGGTGCCGTCGCAGCAACTGTGTTTTTGCCTGGTATCTCCCATGCTATTGCCTCCTGTCGTGCGCCTCCAATCAAACCACCCTCTTGAGCAGTTCAAGAGGCAACGCAACCCCCGCGTGCTGCGGGGTTTGGTATTCTTGATGGCCTGCCACTGAAATGAGCAGTTTGGTGCTGTGTGAGCTGCGGGCGACTCGACCGCCCTGCTTACACACGATGCGTTTGGTGTGCAAGCAGTGGCGCGGCACGCGGTTGAGGCTTCTGGCCGGTCACTTTGCCTGCTTGTCCCCGTGCAGCATGGGCCATGCGCCCGTGTGTCAGCGTCTTGCCCAGTATGTTTTGTTTAGCGCGACTGTGATGCGACGCACCGCCGAAACCGCAAGGGGAGCTCTCATCCACACCTTTCCCCCGGGTTCACCCTCCCTCGGTGACCACTGTGCTACGCAGCGCTTCTGCCCACGGCAACTCGCATCGTCCGTAGCTTGGCGCGCTCCCTTAGCTGCACAAGTGGCTCTTGCAAGACCACCTGTTTTGCTTGGGATCAACGCACGCCGTCTGTGTGTGTGAGTTTGTCGGATCAGCTTCTCGGTGCCTCTGTCTTGACCTCACACTCGTGTAATCATGCCGGTATGAGGCGAGGTGTCCAACATATCAGGGCCTGCGTTACTTGTTTTGATCTGCACCATTTGACCTGTGCAGAAGCGATGGCAGTGCTGTCAAGCACTGGGTGGCACATGCAAGTGGGCACGGCTGTCGATGTTGTGCAACACCAACGCTGTCGCCGTGTGGCGGCAGTTGCGTTTTATGTGGGGGCAGGGAAGCCGAGGTCGCCACCCTGGCAACTCAGTGCAAGAGATCCAAAATTGGCTGGCTACAAACAAAAAACCTTCCTAAAGAGTGACCCTTGTGGAAGGCGGCACACGGCAAACGGTGGCCATTATTTGTGTTGGTTTGGCGCAACCTTCAAGCGAAGGCAGATTCTGCCATAGATAGATTCGGAGCTCCTAGGCAAACCCGCCTGCATTTCTCCCCCTGTGCGCAAACTGTGATCTCCTCTCTCATCGCCAGGGCACCCACATGTTCAGGAGCTGCCGTGGGGACCCTGAAGGTTTTGCCCGCTGGGAAGGCCCCGGTGACAATAGAGACGCGCGTGCCACAGTGGGGCCCCGTGCGAGCACGGGCGTAGGCGAGGGCGAAAGAGCGGGCGCAGGCACAGGCACGGACTTGGGCGCGGGCGCAAGCGCGGATTTTGCTGCGGGTGTGGGTGCGAGTGGGGGTGCTGGCCCCGTTGAAGATGCGCGCTGGGGCCCTGGAGGGGCGGGCCCGTCATCCAGCGTTGTTTTGCATGCGGCGCTGACAACCCTTCGGGCCCAAGTGCTGTTTGCGGATGAATTCTGCCTGGGCCTTAGCAGCACGGCCCTGCGTTGTTGTGAGGGTTGAGCGGCATATGCGATGACTTTGATTGATGATGGGAGCAAACCCAGGCGAATCAGGAGTTGATCCACACCACAAAATAGTCAACTCAGTCCAGGGGTGGTAACATGCAGACCCAGGCCACGCATGCTGGTCAAACATGGAGTGTGGGTCCATGCCGCGTTCATTCCCGGAAGCACACCTGTAGCCACGAGCACGTGCTTTATTGAGCATCGGGGGAAGATTCCTGGCAACAGGGGCACTGTGGCCGGTGGCGAAGACACAGAGGGTGACGAAGACAGAGAGCGGGCTTCTGAGGCGGAGGTGCATCAGGTTTCAGGCTTCAGTTGATCTCATCAGCCTGCCAGTGGGCCAGGTGTCGCAGACTCGGCAGCCCTGCGACACACGTCTGTTTCCCCCTCGCAATAAACGCGGCGTGCACAGTCCAGCAACTGCTCACTTGCGAATAGAAGCGATGCAGCGCACGCTAGTGCCCTCGCATGGGCATTTCCAGCTGCTGTTGCTCAGGCTCTCTTCGCGCCACACCTGCAAGGGCGGGCGAGAAGCGTCTTAGAGGCAAGGCAAGCGAGATGACCTGACACCCACCGCGCTGCTGCATGAGTGCGTGCATATGACGGCGGCGAGGTACGGGTTTTTTTTGTGCCGTGTAGCTCGGCCAAGCCAGCCTTCCAGATGGTATCCAGCCAGCCTTCCGGATGTTACGCCTGCTTACAAAACCCTAGGATCTCCAGCCTGGTAAATTTGCCCACCTGGTAGTCACCGTCAAAATTGTCCGCAAAATCTGTGTGACAGGAAAGGGGCGACGGAAGGGTGCGTACAACTCAGGTTGGGCCGCAGGCCTGCTTGGGCGTCATCACTTTGGTGTACATCGCACACCCAGCCTCGATAGACAAGCAGGGCCCTGCCACCTGAACCAGCGTCACAATGCAAGAGCCCAGCCCTCTGCACCCGTACGGATGCATTCGCCCCGCGCTCTGCCTACCAACGCCGACGCGCTTGAGCCATGCACAGCCCTGTGAGGCGTTGGCTGCGCCGGGGCCGCTGACTGCAAGCAGCTTCTTATACCGGTCCTTGACGCGGCTGGCAATGGCCTGGAAGTAAGCCTGTTGCAATCCGAACGCACATGCCAAACTTGTCAAAGTGCCCAGCAGTCGACACATCAGTGACAAAATTGGGCCTCGACAGGTTGCCCCCAGGCCTGAAGCTCGTCCGCAGCGCCTGTGTGCTGTCCTGCCGGCACAGTAGGCACTGTTGACGGACAACTGCAGTTGTCCCCTGGCCTCCATGTAAGAAAAGGCCCAACGAGCTCCTCTATCGGCCTGGCTCACCAGGCTGTTGGATCCTGGCGCGACGCCGTCCAGCCATATGCCGCGCACAAACCCACCGCCAAAGCTGCCGGGTCCAGCTCCAAGCCAGCCGTCTATGTCTGCCAAGACATCGGCCAGCGGGCGCGACGCATCCCTAAAAGGGAGCCAGGCGAAGGGGGGTGCAGGGCACACGCTCAAGCTCAGAAAACATGTTGCTGCCAAGTGGAAGCATGTACTGCCCCAGATAAGTTGCTAGCAGGCGCACCTGTGCATTGAGATAAGAGCAGGGTGTGCAACGTGATAATTACCAAATGCAGGTCAACAATGCGGATCAGAGCTCGATCGCGCCAAAACCGCCAACGCCTTGCTCACATGGTTGATACGTTGCCTGAGCGGAGTGCGCCGGGGACGCGTAAGTAAAGGGTGGGAGATTGTACATTGCGTGACTTGAAGTCATCAGACAGGTCCAGCGGCCCAAGGGGTTGTGGCGCTTTTGCCTTGCATCTAGGACCGACGCCGAAACTGCCGTCCAGGCGAGCCCAGGCGCGTGCGTCATACCCCCTGCTGTGCCCTCGCAGCGCTGCGTCCGTGCCCGCACGGGGCGCGCTGCAGCCTAATCAAACAACCTGTGTCACCTTCACGCACCGCCATCATGCCCGCCCCCCTTGCCCCCTTGCGGGTGTATGGCCCACGACCCAGCGGTCGGCTCACCCAGCGGCGCCCACTGGCGGCCCATCTCCTTGCTGAGGGTCTCGAGCTTCTGCCTGCGCAGCCTTCCCTCTGACGAGTTGCCGTTCACGGACGGGCCCGTCTGCAACCACAGGGAGCAGTTGTGAGGAGTGATTTTGCCTGCAAGGCGGTGCAAGGCAGAGGCTGCGCTGGCTGACAGAGATCTTGATGACGCAAGCAGCTGCCGCGCAGCTGCTGCGCGCCGTGTGTAAAAATTGAGTGCAGCACTCCCGACTGGACGCACCATAACGACGCCAGTGAAGGAGCGCGCCAGGCAGGTCTCGTTTCGAGCGAGGGAAACGATCCGCCTGATGTCTGGGCCCACTGGGGCGTCCACGTCAAGGGGCACTGCGCATGCAATGTTGAGGGCAGGGGCGATTTGGGTCCCTCTGCAAGGGGCGCGACGGGCCACGGAGGCGGCTGCGCAGTAAGCACGACCCAGGTATTGCAGCACCGCGCTCTGCGTCTCCCCGGCAGCATCCTTGCCGGCCCGCACGCCCGCGCCACCGCCATCCCATGCTCCTTGCTGTTGCAGCCGCACACATCTCTGGTGCTCGCTCACCCAAGATGCCCATTCGCTCAGGCACAGCTGCATGAGGAAGGGACACAGCCATTGCAATCGTGGTTGTGATGCACGGGGGAGGAGGGGCCAGGGCGTTCAACATGCGGGCGCGCTCATCCAGAAGCAGCAGGTGGGTCATGCCACCCTCCGCTCTCTACCTGAATTCGTTGCGCACCTCCTTGGCCGACAGCCAACTCCGCCAGCAGCGCCAAAAGAACGAGCTTGAGGCCCATCCTGCTGCTTGTTCCAAGGCTGTTGCCTATGGTGTTGCATGCATGAAGCAGTCTGGGCTGCGCCCTGCGACTACGACATGCTGCTGCCTGGCCGCCGCCTGCGGCCATCGCTGCTCATGCCTCCTGCAAGTCAAAAATGGTGGATTCCGCAATACTGCCTTGTCACTCCGACGTGAGCTCCTTGCTCTCGCGCGCCCCCTCAGAGTTGCAGTCACCGGGTGACACGGTTTGGGTTGGGAGACGCGTTTTGGGTCGATTAGAATTGACTTGTATCGAGACACGCTTATAGTATCGCGTCAAGCGGTAGGATGGTTTGTTTCAAGACACTGAGAGCGCCCGGTGGCAAATGTTGAAATGCAGAGCGCCGCCGAGCTGCTGCGATGCACACGAGTTAAGCTGGCATCGGCAACCAACAGGCAGGCCAATCAGGGATGTACAACTTAAGTGAGATGATGCACACATGTCGTATACCTGAACGTTGAGTCAGAGGCGCCAAACTACCACTTGACTTGCATGTTCTTGTGCATCCCCGCCAACTCATGGTGTTCGGGCTCCATACGTTGCAGTCGTGGGGACAGCCATCACATCAGCCAGCGCTGCTTTCTGACACGTGCATAACTGTCAAGTGATGCATGTAGGGTTACAAGTGTGGTTTCGCTTCTTCGCCATTCAAGTGTGGGAAAGGGCCAGTAATGCAAGAATGGCACGGCGAATGCGCCAAGGGCAGCAGGGCAGCGGGATGCCGGGGCCGCCCGCCCAGGTGCTCGACAGTCTGCTCTCCTGATAGCGCACTTCAATTCACAGGGTGGGGAGGTGGTGTCAGGGGTGGAAATGTGTTGTACAAAAAGGGCCAAAGTGAACAAAGAGGGTTCCACCGCTGAGGCAGCGCCATGTCTGCCGGCAGGGACCCTGGCAGACACACGAGGTCACGCGTAAACACAAAGGGCATGTGCGCTCAAGAGCACCGCGATGCATCGCCGGCCGCGCGGGCTGGGCGCATACTGTGCGGTGAATGCGGATGCAGCGCGCAATGAGCACGGCGCGGTGTGCCGCCGGCAGGGCCATGCTGACATTCACACATACACATGCAAAACACTCACGCACGCACGCGGCCCGGGCCGTGCGCACTGTCACTCATGCACGTACCCCAACAACAGCTCAGTCATGAACGTGTGCGCGGCTGCTGGCGCAGCCTGTTTTCCCGTGTTTCAAACCGAAGACAGTTGTGCCAGCGAGCTGCGCCCTGCACCATCGACAGCTGCAACCGAGGTGTCCTCGCGGCCACCTGGTTGCAGCAGCTGCCGCTGGGTTCCTGTATTGCCGCATGGCTCCTTATCATCCGGGCGGCCAGAAGGACGTGGCCACCTTGGCGCCGCTCAGTCGGATCCACAGCACAATGGTGAGCCCCACAATGATGCAGCAGACGTCACCCAGCACCGAGTCACCCATGTAGTAATCCAAGAGTGACCACACGCCCCGCCAGAAGATGATCACGCCGGTGACGGCGGTCAGGGTGAGGCCGACGGACGATATGTCTGCAATTTGAAGTGGGGGGTGAAATGGGCAAAAGGCTCAGCAGATTGGCTTGGCCACAGCATGTGTGTTCGCACGTTTAACACAGCTGCGACCGTGCGCCTGGGCGCCGCAGTAAGCTGGTGTTTGCCGCAGGTGCAGACACCTGCCATGCTCTGAGGCAGGGGCGCGCACCGAGCAACTGCGCAAGCCACCTGCCCTGCAGCCGAGGACTGGCCCACGAGACCCTTGCACCAACACCAGACCACAACGCGGTCCCTGCGCAGCGCAGCTGCTCACCAGCCTCCAGCTTCTGCTCGAATTCAAGCAGCACATCTGTCGGCACGGGCGGCGGCAGCTCGGCCGCTTCTGCAGCGGCGGCGGCCGCATCGCCGGCCTCCGCCGTTGCGTCGGCATCAGCCGCGAGCATGTGGGCCGTCGGCGGATGCAGCAAATGCGGCGAAGGCGGCTCCACATCTTCGTCGCTGAAGGTGTCGAGCAGCGGCGCGCCGTTGAGCAGCTGTTGACCCAGGTGAGAGCCCTGCTGCTCGGCGCCGGTCGCGACGCGGAGCGGTCGCGGCGCACGGGGCAGGCGCGGCGCGCTGGCTGGGCGGCGCCATGATGGCACTAAGATTGTCGTCTGGCAAGCATTTTTGGCTGCCAGAGGAGCCTGGAGGGGACAAGGCCGTCGGAAAACCAGCATCCAGGCCTGGTTGGGCAAACGCCTTTGTCCAGGACCACCCCAAGGTTGCTATAGCTTTTGAGACGTACAGCCGATGCGATTATGCTTGTTCAGTGCGCGAAGGGGGGCGCAGGACGCGGGTTGGAGGTGGTGTGTGCTATGTCGAGGGGTTTGTGGGCAGCTGCACGGCAAGAAGTCACCTGAGATTGGTGTGCAAGGCTAATTACAGCTTCTCAAAGGCGGGGTGCTGCGTTTCCTGTGGTCTCTGAGCCCCATGAGACCTGGTGGGCAGCTGGCACTAGCTATACAACAATGAACGGCCTGTCTGAACTGAGTGCGACACGCCTTTCGTACACTATTAGAGTCTGGTTTCCACGACCTCAAGTGGCCATCCGTCCTAGATCGTGTTGACCTTGTTCAGACGCAGCTTGGAGGCCTGGGCTCGAGTATGCACTCCTGGGCACTGAGGGCAACACATATGCATCTGCCCCTGGCGCGCCTGCCATCCTGCTGCAGCCAGCAGACGGCCGCCGTATTGTCAGCCGCCCCGCCGCCGCCGCGTGTCGCGTTGCCCAACCAGCGACCCCAGCAGCAGCACCAGCAACAGCGACCCCAGCAGCGGCGGCAGCATCCGCAGCAGCGGCGGCGCCTCTCCTTTGTGGCGGCAGCTGCTGGCGTCAGCGGCGTGGACGCGGGAAGCGGCATGCCATCGCACACGGCTGATTCCAAGGACTCCCCGTTCAATGAGCTCAAGCTAGCCAAGGCCATGGAGGGGGTGGGTCCAACGGCTGCTTGATGTCTTAGGGGATCAGTGGGATCATAGCAGCATGGTCCTGCTTCCATCCCTGAGATAACCAAAGGGGGCGAGATGGGGCTGGTGTGTGGTGTGTTGGAAGCCGCGGCGTCCAGGGGCAGAAGCACGCAATTGAGTTGGGCAGGATTGACATGAGGCCGTAGGAGGTTGCGGGACGCACGGCGGGTGGACATGTTCGTGGCGCAGCGCGGCTCGCATACACGGTACCGCCGCCTGACGCTCGCCGCGCACACAGGCGGCCGCGACATGGCAGCGAGCGCTCAAGCAGCCGCGCCACTTGGTCCTGCGACTCCCCTCCACGCACACTAAACCCTAAACCCTGCTGCTGGTGCTCGCGCCCAACCTTTACATGCCCACGCGCACCCCTGCTCGCCCCCCGCGCCCCATGGCAACAGTGGGGCAAGGTGCGCGTGCGCCAGCACGTGAACCCCCTTCGCTCCGAGTACCAGACGCCCCTGGGGGCCGTCGACTGGGCGGCCGCGTTTGAGGACCCCACGCTGCCCCTGGTGGTCGACCTGGGCTGCGGCCCCGGCCGCTTCCTGCTGCTGCTGCAGCGGCGCGCGGCCGCGGGCGAGGCGGCGGGCGCGGGGGTGCCGGCGGGCGGGAGGTGCAACTTCTTGGGGGTGGAGATCCGCCGGGCGGTGAGCTGCGTTGCGTGAGAAGCGCGCGGTCGCTTCCCTTGGGGGTGAGGGTGGCGGAGGCAGGTGAGTGGGTGCATCGGCCTGAGCTGATGGTGGCGGCTGGATAAGGAAGGGGGCGATGCCATTTCATGGCGGCGGCGGTCGATTCTGCTCGCCTGAACGTTGCGCGCCTGCCATCACGGGGCCTTCAAAAGAGGCCTCACCTGCGCGGCGCCTCGGCTGGCTGCGTCCGAAGCGGCGCGCAGTGGTCGTTGCGACATCAGGCAGCGGTGTCGGCCAAGCCATCCCCCCATGCTCCCTGCCCAGCAACCACAGCACGGGCATCCCGATAACATTTGGCAGCGGTGTCGGCCAAGCCATCCCCCCATGCTCCCTGCCCAGCAACCACAGCAC